GGATGTTGTTGTTGTTGATGATGATGTAGTGGATGTTGTTGTTGTTGTTGTTGTTGATGGTCTGGCCGTGGATGTTATTGGTGTAGATGATGTTGCGGATAATGACGAGGCTGAAGGTGATGTTGCTGATGTTGATATCGTTGTCAGTTCTATTTTCAAAAAATCATTTTAGAGTCGGACTAAACGATCGGATACGATTTGTTTCTTTCTCTGTTACAATGTATCGAAGTTAGATATAAGTTCATTATAACAAAATAAGAAATATTTAAATAATTTTCCTCTATAATTGTAACTCTACGATATCGACTTTAATTCTATCTCTATCATAATAATCAATCTGTCATTCGGATACAAATGTGTCCAATATCTCTGGCAAGTTGTCTTAGTTCTCGATAGTTTCAAATTATTGTTCATGAAGAAAATAACTTTTTCTTTTTCATCGATATCTTTCCGTGTAAATCTAATGTATTTATACTGACCTGATGGAAATCGTGTTCCGCTAATAACAGTCATGCTAGTAGCATCGATATCAGACAACATATTTCCATTTTGATTCAACATATCACCAAATAATTCACAACTAGAAGTTGATCGATGAAAAGTGGCTGCTCTGCATTGACTTTGAGTTAAACAGGCTATTTGGCACTTCCTGATGTTTGATGTAATAGCATTAATGAATGGTAAACATGTTGTATTGGCACATTGAAATTTAGAATCAGGTAATAAAGACATTATCATTGATCCTGTATCTTCTCCGATTATTTGATTTATAATCATAAATAAAAGCCATAAACAAACTCTTCTTGAAGCCATCAATCACCAGATTCTAAGTTGTTGAAATGAAATCAATTCATAATAGAAGACTGGGTATTTATTGAGCAATAGATTATTTTTTTTCTCTCCTTTTTGAGTGGGTAGTGCACCGTTTTTCCCAGAATTTATATCATCAATATAATAAAGAAAAGTGGTCAGGACTTTTTTCTCTGAATTTATTTTGTCAGTTTAAT